GCTCACAAAGTAGGTCGTTTTTTTGCCAATTTTTCTTAAAGTAATTTATAGTATTATGCAAGTCTCTTCCTCCTCTTAAACAGCGAAGTAACTTTCGAAACACCCGGTATTTTATGTTGTCTCTTCAATAGGTGCTGCCATCGAGTGTTATAGAAGTAAACCTTATTTTCAAACGCAATAAGGTTCTGGTATTTAGTTCTTCGTATTAAAACTATTCTGGCGCCATCTCGTCAAAACACTGGGAAATATGTTACCGTTGTTAATCTGTGGGATATTTTCTTGTAGTTTACTCTCGTTTTATTTTTAAACAATAAGCAATTGGCATAACTCCTTTCAACTACAGTTGATTCCTCAATACAAACGACAGTCCTTAATCCTAAATGTTAGCAAATCTCTTGCCTACGTGTCTAATTACGTGCATTTTATAATGTTTATTTGTCTGTTTGTTTTATTTAAAAACAAAGCCACTTTGGGCTATTTGCTATGTCCACCACAGAGAAAAGAACCCCGGATTTTACCGTTGTAGGTTCGTAGACCTACCACCATCTCACCAACGAACCGTTTCAAAATAACATTTAGAAATAATAATAATAACAATAAATATATTCTAATTGAAATTGATATTTTGGTCTGTTCTTCAAAATAGCAATAAACATATGGTACACAAAACTTAGTGCGTGTTAGTCAATAATTAAAATAGTAAAATTTTAAAGTGTAGCATAGTTTCTGTGTAGCTTAACATTTCATAATAAAAAATCAAACACATTCAATGTTATAACATAAAAATGTATATATTATAGTATAAAATTGTTAAAAGAAGAGAAATTATATTGTTGCGTCAGCGAGGTCACATGACTAGTATCGAACATAAACAAGAAAGATTACAGCAGTTGTTAGAGGAAAAAGAAAAGAAACAAGAAGAACGAGAAAAGAAACAAGAAGAGAGACTACAGCGGTGGCAATTGGAACAAAAAAGGAAACGAGAAGTACAAATGGAAAACATTAGTAAATTTAAAAGCGCATTAGATACATTAAAGGATGATTTACTGTCTTTTACACAAGGAGGATACAATAAC